GGCTGTTGAGCGAGTCACACCCCATTTTACAACCTTTTTGCAGCAGTCATTAAGTGAATCACCATGGCCATTAAGCAAATCACACAGTCGTTAAGCGAATCACACAGTTCCCCATTGATTTTGCTTGCTGAAAGCTGGCTGGGAAGGTTGCAAATGGTGATCATGTCACCCCAGGATGCTGCAACCATTGTAAGGGCAAGCTGGTTGCCAAGCTCCCAGATTGTGATCACGTGACTGCGGGGGTGCTACAACGGTTGTAAGCCCCTTTGTTCAGCACCGCTGTAATTTCAAATGGTCACTAAATGAATGGTTGTTAAGTGAGGACTATCTGTATACTGTTCTTCTTGAACAGCAATGCTGAGCCTTCTTAAGGAACCTAGGCATGATGCCATTTTTTCCTGCCACAGAGTCTAATGATTCTGAATCTTAATAAACAGTAATGCCTCTCCACATTAACATTTTTGTGAGTTAGGCTAGAGTTATCTTAGAAAGAAAAGCTTTTCCTTTTTTTTTCAGAGTGTCAGATATCAAAGTCTAGCTAGCAAAATGTTCAAGATCACCCAGCATAAGAGCCCTACATGAAAAGTGAAATCCCAGATGTTCAAGCCAGTTTTAGAAAATGCCAAGGAACAAGAGATAATATTGCTGATAATTGAAAAGGCCAAAAATATCAAAGTCAGTATGTCCTTCAGTGATTATAGAAAGACCTTTGATTGTGTTGACCATATTAATACCTTAGGAAAAAGGAAGCTCCAGAACATCTCATTGTTCTTACAGGAAATCTATAGACAGAACATGAAGTCATAGTCCAGATGCAACAAGCAAAACAGACTAGCTCCAGGTCAAAAAAGGAAAAAAAAACAAACCAAGGCTGTATACTTTCTCTTCATTTACAGAGATATAAATAAATGTTAACTATATACTAAGCATGTAATATACTATTATATATGTGTTGAATATAAATTGAGTGAAGCTGGATTGGAAGAATACAGTATGAATATGGATTTAAAATTTGAGGAAAAAACATTAATACCTGTGTATATTGATGACACTATTCTGATAGCTAAAAAAGTGAATGATCTGCACACTGCTAATGAAATCAAAAAGCACAGTAAAAATGGGCATATGATGAAATGTTAGGAAGAATAAACCAGCCTCATATTAATAATGAACACATTGATACCTCCTGCCTTTTAGAAAACAGTAAAGGGTCCAACAGTCGAGAAATACACTACAATCTAGGACTTGGTAAGATAGCAATAAGGCTTTGGAAAGGATGTTCAGATGCTGTGATGTGTCTATACCCACAAATTTGAGAGTGACTCAGACAATGGTTATTTAATAAAACTCTATAGACACAAAAGTTGGATTTTGAAGAATCAGGATAGATAGAGTATTGATGCTTTTGAACTCTGGTGCTGGAGAAGACTCTTGAGAATACCATAGGTAGCCAGGAAAATGGATCATAGAACAAATCAATCCAAGATTTTCATGCAGTGCATGAATAACCAGGCTCAATCTATCATACTTTTGGACATTATGCAAAGATCTAGGTCCCTTGAGAAATCCATAACATTAGGAAAAACTGAACAAAAGATGGCCAGTAGCATGCTGAATGGGATTGATTACAACAGCAACGAGTATACCACTGAGAGCTAAATGGCCAAGCCGAATACAGATCATCCTGCAGAGAATCTATCTATGTAGTGGCTAAGATCGACACCAACTTGAAGGCATTAATCAATCATTCCAGCATTTTGATTTTTAAAAAGTATTTTCAAAGTCATATAACCTGATGTACTTGAGGTGAACAATTTAAAAATAATAAAAATGCAAAACAAAAAACATGTATTCCTATTTTTAAAGTTGTCATTTTATATATAATAATGGTAAGGGGACTTGGTGGAAAGTGCAATTAGCTGTGTTAAGATAACTGAGCTTTCTCATCACAATAACAAGTCTACCTTCCCTTCTGCTAAATTCACAAGACACTACTTCTGTTTCATATTTTAACAGCAATTAATTTTGTTAAATGAGCATTAATCATGATTAGCTTTAACAATGATTAATGATAATAAGCCCATTTTAAAATTTGCTTATTGCATTTAAGATTAATAACACCTAATCCAGGTTCAAATTATATAATTTGGTCCATATTTTTAAATTAATTCACACTTTCTGGATTTCTATGT